GCCTTTCCCTAGTGGTCGGAGCCACTGAGAGGGGCATCACACTCGACCACTTCAATCGGCCTTACTGCACCCCACATAAGCCACATTCTTTGCAATTTTAATGAACCTCCTCCCCAGCTACTTCAATTACCTTTTTTCTTCCACCATCGTCTCAGTGAGGCGGGGAAAATTACATGGTGTGGTGGTGAAACAATGCGCTCCCCGCAAATCGCGCTTGTACAAGAATTTCCTCAGTCGGCCTAGCAGGCAAGACTGAAGGACAACGTGGCACTAGAGTACACATTCCTTTGGACTAACTGTCCGATTATTGTCCTCTCCTTGAGCCTCACTTTTCAAGCAAGTGACAATCATAACCGAATACCTCATTGGAAGGTCACAGGTGAAAATGGGATGGATAGAGGGCGACTCCAACTGGCACAGCTCACACCTTGAACAGCTGGATGAGAGAGAAGGCGTGGGCGGAGGTGGTGTGGAGGTAGAATGCGACCGTAAGGCTGTGCTTGTGTGCAAATTTTCCATAAAGGAGGGCTTCAAGCAATTCAACACTTGCCAGTGACAATGTCTAAAGGAGGGGACTTTGAATGCGCCCAACATCTCACCTCCGACAGGTAAGAGCATACAGGCATTGCCTTTCCAAAATCACCGACCCAACAATTCAGAGGTTAGCAGATGAGAAATCGCCTTAAAAGTTCTGTTTCAAGGCAGTCTAGTCGTACTGACGACTCTCTCCTCAACAAGACATTCTAAGCAGTAAAATGACTTTACTGGCGCACAATTTAATCAAGTTAAGTCCCAAATTCCGCCTCAGAAGACTTCATTACACCTACGCACATAAAATGTCTCATCATGTGTCCCTCACTGTCTGCTTTGATGGCTCCTTTCCACTCTCTGAAAGGAGATAAATTTGATTGTTGGATGTGCAGACCAGATTCATGGCTGTTGAATTTATGCGCTCTCAACTCCACTATTTGTGATTAAGGGCTATGGAAGAAGAAGAGGAGGAGGAGGAGGAAGAAGAAGAAGAAGACGCCCATTAAGTTAGTGCTGCCGAGATCGACTCTATGAAGAAGAAAAATCTGTTCCATTCGTCAACAGAGGGTCGGAAAATGATGTCCTGTTTAGTTCCAGATCCTGCAGAAGTGCTCTTCAGCTTTAAACGAGACCTGTTAGAGAGCAGCCCATGGCAATAAAGAAAACTCTTTGGTAACAATAAAGCCAAATTCCTAAGCACAACCTTAGAGCTACTAATAATCCGAAGATAGAACTTCAATGCGGTGAGGGAAAATTCACTCTCATCCCCTTTAAACCATTCCAGCAGTCACTTCGGCCTTCGGTACGTCTTTCGAAGGGTCTGAAGTTCTCCGCCCCTCACTCAAATCATTTCTATGCCCAAAAAAGGCGATTTGACCAGTTGAATTGAAAGGCGCTTTAAAGAGTGCGGAGAGTCTGCTCGTGACTTTGAAAAATTCGGTCAGGGTTTTGCCTTGCTTTGGGGCAGTATTTAACTCAAAGGCTCACTTCTCCTTCCTCGCATTATCCTTAGGCCCCGTGAGGCGCCTGCACTACACTCGGTCCACCTCCAACCCCTCCGTCGTGCTAACCTGCCTTTCTTTTGTGTCACCGAAAATAAAACAATCAAAAAAGACGGATTCGATGTGATTGGCACCAGTGAGACGCATTTGTAGCGTGTCAATTTTTACCATAAAAAGGATCAAAATCCCAACTTAATGTCTGCTTGCAAGTTGAACCACCTTCAAAAGTCAAGAGAGGCTGTGAGGCGAAAAAACTTTTCACTTTTAGCCCTTTTTTTTTTTGGAAATCACTGAAACCACAGTCTCTCCTTGCCACTCCGTGTACCACTCGAGTTGAGCGTGACCTTGAGTGTTCGAGTAGTTCAATGCGAATCTAACATTTATAAAAAACGTTTTAAACTTGTTATGAAAAAAAAAAAATCCTAACCCAGTCTACCGTCCTGAGAACAGTAAATTATCCACTTACGACACAGCTACACACCGTAATGGGTTTCACTTCCTCCTCTTCGCTTATTTTCGAGAAGTGAATGACTTACTGTTAAATTCTGCCAACTTGAGCGCCTAATGGTTTTTGTGCTCTGAGGGAGGAGGCACGACCACCCCGTGTGGGCTTTAGCGTTCATTTAAAATTCGAAGTTATTTACGCCTCCTCAACGCAACCCTGCACTACTCTCACCTCTTAAAGATGTTTTATAGACCGCTAAAGCCAACACGTTCCTTCTGACCCAACGAATGCAAATAAGTGGGTGAAAAATTGAAGCTTAAAATTCTGAAATTGACACACACCTCTAGAGAAGGATCTTTTCCTTCAACACCATAAAATCGCAACTCCTCATGCAACAAAGAGGATTATACATAAATGACTGACTATACATTCCGTAAAGCACAAAATATCTTCAATGATTCGAATCATCAATCATTTAATTATCGGTGACCTTGAAACTAGAAGCTGATTGGTCAGATTTGAATTTTTACAAAGATCCTCAAACCTCCTGAAGCTAGTCAAAAGTCACGACTACACGAAACATTTCTACCTTCTTATGCGTTTTTATTCACACTCACAAGCATAAAGTTACCGCCTGGTTTCTCGACACCCACAATTCATTCGCCTATGTCTAACTAGAAAGTAGCCTTAAAGTGAAAGCCAAATTCTTTTTTTCTGGGCACCTTTTTTTGCCAAGGAAGACATTTGTGCTTTTTCCAAGTTATAAATAACACAAGATTTGATAGGATTATAACACGAAATTTAGTACTAGAACACTGGCGACGCCAGATGTCTCCTCCCGCCGCATTCAACTACCTCCCGCCTAAGTTAACATTTTTACTGCAAAAAAATTGCGCCAACTATCACAGATTAACCAACCGGTAGTCCTTTTTCCAAATGATCCATTTTAAGTTTAATTTATGGAATAAAATTAATTGCACCGAAGCTATACCCCTCTCATCTACCCTCGCCCCGGTGGCGGTAAATTATTGAATGCTCCTCGCTCCTGTCTCCCAGTCCCGGTTTCGTTGCGCCGAGCCAAGAACTGACTTTGTTGGCTCATCCAAAAGACACATCATGAGGAGAGAGTGGTAAACGAACAGCAAAAAAAGACCATCGCGGTAAATGGGACGAATTGGTGGGTATTTAAATTATCCATGGGATAATGAGGATTCTTCCTCTCTCTCTCTCTCTTTCCTCCCACCTATAAACATCAAAGCCACGTGGATTTCATTATTAAACTAACTTATTTAAACATGCGGTTCCCTTTTTTTAGTAGATGAAGAAGATACAAAAGAGAGACAAAATAATGTTGGTAGAATAATGGTAGATTAGACGACTTACAGGTACTTCAACTCCTTTGGATTGGCATCAGCGGAGCAGTAGAAGCGTACAGTTGCATTCTCCCGCAAATGTCCACCAAAGGCTTCCTCATTTGAAACATTTTTCGTAATACTCATGTTCTTTATGTCTAGTTGAGGCGAAGAAAGAATGGAATAAGAAGAAGGAGAAGAAGAAGAAGAAGAAGGGATTAAGGAGAGGTGACGATGTCTATCCCGACCCGCGTGTCAAAGATGAGCTGCCCCAGCTGGACTTTTAGTGGGACAATTATCAAGTTATCATCGTGAGTCTCTCCACCTCAAAGCGACTTTTCTGTCTGCTCGAAGCATGGAAGATCTGGTGAAATGGCTAGTGCATTCCATCTGTCGTTAAAGGCGGTATTTTTTATGCACCTCTGTTGCACGGGAGCGGAAATAACTTCGGAGGAAGTGACTTTAATAGCTGCAAAGGGATGTAGGAAGTCGACAAATCTTTAACATTCCACTTTTTATTGCTTTTTATTGTTTAAAACTAATTAGGCTTTGCTGATTTATTCATCTACGCACTGTA